GCTGAAGACACCCCAACCGAAACTCCCGTGGAGCCTCCCATTAGAGAGGAGACAGACGTCGCAAACGACGATGACTATGCGAAAACATTTGACTCCCCCGTCGGCTCGGAAAAGGGTGACGGCGAGGACGAACAAGAAGCTCCTGTATCATCAGTTCTCCGAGAATCCAACAATATTTCCTCACATTCTGGTGCCTTGAATACCCACCCATCAGTCGCCTCGCGATTCGTGCTTGATACCTCACCTGCGCAACCTTCTGCTGGAAGTCATGCGTCTGCCCAGCCCGCGGCAGATGCAGTTCCCCAAAGATTGAGCGACTCCAATCACTCGAATGCCGGTCCCAGTTTACCTCAATCCGCTCACGGAGGCCACAGTGCAGACCGTTCTGAAAGGCCTTCATCAGCGGATCTCCAACAACTCGTGGCTGATCTGACGCGCCCCCAGCCCACTGATGAAAACCATAACTTAGACCCATCTGCCCAGTTTGCGCAGGCCGGGCAGTCCAGCGGCCCTCCACCCCAAACAAGCCCATCTGCTGCTCTGCCATCGTCCTCATCCCTCCCGCCCCGGCCTCCTCAACCCAACGCAGCTCCCCAGACGTATGCATCTCTCCACCATCCTGCCGGATCAGTTCCAGGTGTACCCGTCAATGTCGCTGCTCCGCCCAATCCCGGTCAGCCCTCGACGTATGTCGCGGCCGGCGCCCCAGGAACATCTACTGAAGCCATCAGCAATCTCCCGCCGCCCCCGCCAGCCGGCCTTGCCAGCCACCCCAGTCTCGCATCCATGACCTCTGTCCCATTCCCCGCTCAAGCCGGCTATCCCGCAAATGGGGAAGACGACTATCAGCGCAAGTGGGATCAGTTTATTGCTGATGAAAGGCAATACATGTCGGAGGCCAAGTGGGATCGCTTTCCAGAAGGCTCCCGCATTTTCATTGGTAAATAAGCCTCCAGACTCACGTAATTCGTGCTAATCAAGGGGGCAGGTAACCTCTCAAGTGATAAGGTTTCAAAGCGCAATGTGTTTGACATGTTCCACAAGTATGGCCGACTTGCACAAATATCTCTGAAGTCTGCCTATGGATTTGTCCAATACCACACCATTGATGAAGGCCAGCGGGCCATAGACAATTTGCAAGGCGCTGAGATCAAGGGGCGACGTATTCGTATGTGTTGAATCACCCATATTATCACTTTCATCCACCGGACGCAGCTGACATGTGTAATGGAAAGATCTTGAGGTATCCAAGCTTCAGGATAAGTCAAAGAAGGAGCGCGCTCGAAGCCCTGATAAAGGACGCGGTCGAGAGGGCGGTCGACGTAATGATAGATATGCCAACCAAGGTAGGGATGAATATCGCCACGGTGGCCGTCCCCATTCTCCTCGTCGTAATGAGTACAACGGCGACAATTATGGTCGAGAACGGGGATACTACGAGGCAGGCCGTGGCCGTAACCGATCTCGATCACCCGGTTATGGTCGAAGTGGCAACAGCAATAACAACCGAGACTCGTACCGGCACAGAAGCCCCAGTCCGTACGGGCGATCTCACAATGACGGAGGAGAGATCGACCTCCCTAGAAGATATGGAGCGGATGTCCCTGACGTCCAGATCATCCTTCAGCCGGACGTCAGTCGTGAATTTGTTAACTGGGTTGAAAGTGCCTTTAAAGCCAAGGCACTCAAGACCGAGGTCATGTTTCTACACCCACGGATACCAAAGGACCAAGTTATCCAACGACAGGCGGTTGAAGGTGTACAGGCTGTGGTCGATTTAGACATGCGAGCACAGCAACTCGGCAAGGTCCCAGTCCAAGCCTTTGACCGATCAGCAGGATCGTCCAATGTTCGCTTTGACCAATATGTGGACCTTGATCCAAACATTGCAGCTGAAGTTATTGTTCGGACCAAGGCTTCTGCTATGCCTAGTTATGGGCAGCCATACGGCGGGGCCCCTGGCGGTTACGGGCCATCGTACAACGCACCAAGCCAGCAGCCGGCCCCAGTCAGCAACTATCCGCTGCCTCAGTCTGCTGCCTATCCACCTCAGCAGCCGGTTGCCAACACAGCTGATATTGCAAAACTGCTGGGCAATGTAGACAACACGACTCTTCAACGGCTTCTCTCTTCAATCCAGGGGGCGCCTTCAGGTGCCATCCCCGCGGTAATGCCGCACGGGAACGTCCCCCAAGCAGCTCAACCTGATATCCAGGCTATTCTGGGTAGTCTTTCAGGGGGCGCGTCAGCCCACCAGCATCATGTACCGGGCCAAGCTCAATACCCCCAGTCTTATCCCCCGCAAGGGCCTCCAGGACCACCAGCTCAATCACCAGGCGGTGGTGATTCGGCCGCTCAAGTCCAGAACATCATGGCGCAGTTGGCGCGGTACAGACACTGATCCACAGGTTCTTTGGTTTGTCATTTTATCGTGATGGTTCATGATTATATCAACATTTTATATTTGGATCCTTTTGCATGGCTATTGGGGGAGGCATTGATTGATTGATATTATAAGTACTAGGTTATGAGGCTGGATTTTAGGGATGGTTGGGAGTTTCTTGGGCGTTCTGTTGTAGAAAGCAACATCTTTTCAGAGATTTCAGTGATAGTAAGGGTGATTTCCGCCTTAACAAGTACTCTTGCCTGGGATGAGTACGGTTGATGGAACGGCCGCGAAGCATTATAAGTTTATTATATCGTCTAACAGTTGTAAATCTCAATCGATACTTGAGAGATGCGCAAGTTTCTATATCGTAGGAACGGCTAGGCTACCCATACCTTGCTCTATACATGCAGGGTGACGGGTCTTGGGTAACTAATATCACCATCCGAACGCTTCATTGTGCCAGTGCACCTTCCGGCCACGCATGACCCACGGCCGAACAGCGTCTCTGACGTCCTTGGCCATCTCCGCAGGTCCACACACCATAACGGCAACGCTCCCTTGGTTATCTTTGCGGAATGCGTCGTCGATGATCTTCTTCACATCGGGCCGCTTCTTGCTCTGCCGCCGCCGCAGGTCGTCCATCTCCAAGCCGCTGCTCTGCTCTCCCTCCCGCTCCGAGGAGCCCTGGCCGACGCCCATGTCTCCGGTGAGAAAGAGATCGACGTTGGCATCATCTATTATGGACTTTGCGCCCAAGGAGCTGGCCCAGGTGGCGTCGCTCGCGGATCGGACGGCCCAGATGAACTTGACCTTGGGGGAAGCTGCCGCAGAAGAGTTGCTGTCGTTTATGAGTGCCTGGTATATGGGGAGGGCGAAGGTGGCGCCGACGCCGCCGGCAAAGAGGAGGACGCGGTCGACCTTGAGGGAAAGTAGGTCCTGTGCCGTCTTGCCGGTAGCTCCATACGGACCGTCGATGTTTAGGGATACTTGGGGGACGGGATCCGACGATGAAGAGGATGAGGAAGACGTGCCGCTGGCGAGGGAGGAGAGGCGGGCGGTCATGGGTCCCGACCGGGCCCTGGCGACGAGGGTGACGGTGCTGGTCTTCTCATTGACGGCCGCCACGGAGAAGGGGTTGAAGAGGAACTCGTAGATGAGACCTGAGGGCGAGAGCATGTTCTGGGATGGCCGGCTCGAGGGCGGGATGCTGAGGTAGATGTGTGAACCGGGGCGGGCGGCGAAGGACGAGACTTTGCTGGCCGGGAGAGTGGCTTCTATCTTTATGATGTCCGTCCCGGGGACTCTCTCCAGTGTCGAGGGGGCCGTCACGACTAGGATCTTGCGGACGCCGATGTCGAGCGTGAAGACGAGGAGAGCTCCGATCACGTAGAGCCGGGCCGACTCGGCGTGGAAGAAGATGAGGGGCGGGACGGAGAGCGCGGCGAGAAGATGGGTGATGAAGAAGACGCGGTAGGACCACCTCCTGACTTCCCTCATGGCGGTTCCGTTGAGGGTGTGGAGGCCGGTGAAGGCAACCACGCCGGCGAAGACGACCGGGGCGAAGAATCGCTTGAGCCAGATGCTGGAGGCGATGAAGAAGATGTTGTAGAAGATGAGATGGAGCACGAGCAGCGAGTAAATGATGCGGCCTAGGACGCGGTGATAGCGGTTGACCTGCTCGTGGGAAGACTTGAAAACCCACGCGAATGGATTCAGAGCCTTGTTGGCAAGCAGATACTGGATGGGCATCTGCGAGACGGCAATGGCTCCGAAGCGCTTGGTAAGATGCAGGTAGTCTGCGTATCAACAAGTTAAAGACTGAAAAAGGGAAACGGCAAACCAATTGAAAGTACACCCACCCTTTCCAGTGCCCATGACGGACAGCAGTAACAACCAGACGGTCCAGGCGATACCCAGGACCCATTCATCCCTCTGGCCCCAATTGTCGTTGAGGAAGACGACATCGTCGCCCATCCACCAGGTGAGCTTCCTCCATCGCGTCTCATAGCTGTGCAGGAACCCCGAGCGACGAGCCTTGGCGACTGGAGAGCCCGGGACCTCCTCGTAGCGCTGTTCGCGGCCGGCGAGCACGCGCTTCACGGCGGCGAGGCCCAGCCGGAAGAGCAGGCAGAGGACGGCGGGCGCCAGGGCCGAGAAGAGGGCGATTGCGGCATAGCGGTCGATGGCCTGGCGGCGGAGGAGCTTCTCCTCGGATGTGAGGTCGACGAACTGGTACGGCCAGCCCATGGTGTGCGCCTCCTTAGACTACCTTACCTACTTACACTATGGCTTGGTCGTGGCTCTCTGACCAGATGCTGGCCTGGCATAATTAGGCCATTACCAAGCAAGTCGCGGTGGGGCCGTTGTTTGGTGTACCGACCCGAACTGGTGGGTGAATTGATGCAAAACGTGGCTCCTCAAACGTCATCATGTAAGCCGTAGACGCATCATGTTTGGATTGGCAATAACAGCCATGGTAACCATGAAACGAAACCTGTCACTTTGTGTATTATCTTGATAGTCTGGTTAATTATCGTGCTAATTGATCTATGTTTTAGCTGCTAGACATTAACTGCTGCAGGGTTGATCGTGGAGCACTGGCGAGGATACTTCAGGTATTGGCGGATGCCCTGTTGCGGCTGCGCCCGACCATGGCAGCAAGCCGTTGCAATCTCTCAGCCTCAACAACTATGTCTCTCTCACCTTGGCCTGGATCCCGAAGAAAGAGGTCGGAAAATCTCAGCTCCAGCGCACCTCCGGTGACGTTGTATGACAGGGGAAACACTCGATTTGTAGTAGCTGAGTTCTTGGTGATATTGATAACTTGCTGACAGGTTAGCTCAAGCTGCACGCCACAAGGACCAACAGGCCGCTCTCGCCATTGTTCAATCGTTATTCCCTCCAATGGCCCGGGGTGGTACTTGATTAGAAGAACGACCTTGACCAGGTGATTAGACTCCTTGAACCACCACCCCATGTCGTCCCGTAGATGCTGTAGAGATTGTGAATGCCCTACTTCAACAGCAAGCGTAGGCCATCTTCGAGAGCTCCTTTGCCCCGGCTGCATTGGGCGCCCGCTTGCGTCCGCTTCTCCAGCGCCTACGCTGCCGTCTCCTTCTTGCGGATACGTGTCGCCACCGGTTGAGAGCCAGTGATGCTCCAACCCCATTTCGCAAATCCTGAAGAGGATATCGAAGACTAAAGTCCAGTGCAACTGTTCGTGGATTTCAGTTTGGATTGCAACAATGAGTAGACGTTGCTCTGGGTAGAACCGCCTAAACCGATATTTTCGGTATCGGCCTTCCCTATACTCCTCGATGGTAGAAAAATCCTGTGGAGATACTTCTGTAAGATGGATGTAGCTTGGTTTAGCCAGAGGATTAATTCAAGCGAATATAGCAGGCATTCTTTACCTTCGACATAGAGGACATCGCCTGGCGTCTTGTCAATCTCCTGAGCAAGGAGTTCGGCTGTCTGGAATTTGATCCGCGGCAGAGTGGTGGGATTATCGGCTGATGTAGCCGCTTCTGATGACATTGAGCCTCGTGGTGGATCCATTCTGAGAGCTGTAGAGATGGCTGAAGGAGTTGTTTTCCTTGTTGCTTGGAATGTGTCAAGGGAAGAGACAAGGCTTGGCGGGGTAGAAACTTAAGGTTCAGGTTCAATGGCTAGGTTCCGTATAAGACGGGCCGTGAGGTTATCATGTTAGTTCGCCACCATACTGGCATGTCTTGAGCTAACTAGGCGAGATTCTACGGTATGCTCAAGCCAGAGGGCATCTAAAGTGACCTCTATCAAAGCATCTCCTCGCTCCCCGAGAGCCTGATTGATCGATGATTTCTTGGATAGGTTTGGCTTTGGTAGGCGTCGTCTCACGCGGTGCCTCTTCTCCTGCTACCAATCATAATTCTAAGTCCGCAATTTGTTCAAAATAGGGAAGCCCATACGAAGCCAAGGCCAAGCCTCGCTTGGTCATTAAATTGCAACGGGTGTAAGGGGCGCCCCGACTTTTAGAGCGTATTCTGACATGTGCTGCATGTGCTGCGTGGGGAATACGCTATACGTTTGTCTATACGCCTTTGGGGTAGCTGTTCGGGCACAGGCGGGATCCACAGTACTCATGACAGCTTCATTCTGGAGGGATCAAAGAGGCGGAGTTGCTCGGCACTGGCCCTGTTGCCGGCAATGAAACGTGAATCTCAGCCATGACCGAGCCTTGGATCATCCCAGGCTGCTTTTCGCTTTCCATGAATCTTGGCGGCAGATCAGGGAAAATATGGCATATAAAGGGCATGGTAGGTCCGTCTCTAATCAGCTTTACATTAGGCTCATCAGCATTAGCAATACAAACCAGTTCTTCAAGGTTCTCTTTCTTCACTTTCAGTTACCACCAACCTGCTCAAGCAACCGAATTTCAAGATGGCACCTAAATCATCCTTCGCAGCTGCCGCTACTGCCGTTCTTGCGCTCACCTCGTCCGTGGTGGCCGCGCCATCTCAGTCCGTAGTTGAGCGAGACGACTCCGGACCCAGCTTGACAACTCAACTGACCATCGCTGATTCGTATGTCCCGTCCCGTCCCGATCCGCAGATCCAATCCTTTTGGCCGAAAGAGCCCATCTAATGCAGGGCCCCTGATTAGTACCGTGGACAAGTTCAATCTCCTCAAGGATGAGGACTTTGTCTTTGACTTCAAGACCGGGCCACTGGCCTATCGCAAGAACTTTCCCGCTCTGTCCACCGTAGGTGGCGCTATGGCATATGCCTCGCTCCCAGGTGAGTTAACTCATGGATAGGACGAGCGTACAGCATGCTCCGTCCTTGATGCAATACCCCGCGGCGGCTAACCTAACCCTCATCCAATAGCTTGCGGCATGGTTGCCCTCCATCAGCATCTCCGAGCCAACGAGCTGTTCGTCGTCACCTCCGGCAAGATCTACTCCGAGATGGTCCCGGAAGCCGGCGTCGTTGCCAACGGCGCTGACAGGATCATTAAGACCGAGCTCACAGCTGGTCAGATGACGATTTTCCCCCAGGGAACTTTGCACACCCAGGTCAACATGCAGTGCGAGAATGCGAGCGCCGTCGCCTCGTTCACCTCTGACGACCCCGGCACCATCATGGTCCTGCCCAAGGCGTTCACCCTGACGGACGCGCTCGTCCAGACGAGCTTTGGCACCATCTTTGAAGGCAAGGACATCGACTCTGTGAGGCAGGCTCTGCCCAGTGGCGCCCTCATGATGGTGGAGGAGTGTCTCAAGAGGTGCAACATGACCAAGAACTAGATGCGGGCGAGCTTCCTCCTGGTCGGCATCGCATTCAACTGTGTGACTGGGGAGGTCCTGACATCGGGTGCAGCAGATAGTCGATGACTCCATAGAACATGTAGTACAGCCAATCAAATCCTCAGTATAGCGCCCGTTACTAGGACCCTTACATAATGCAATTAATGGGCTGGCTCCGTTATAGGGCGCCGTCCAGACAGGTGCACTCCCCGCGACTCGCAGCAACTGGCGATCGAGCTGGCGATGGCAGCAATGTCGGACTCGGAGGGCAGCTAATTACGAGAACCCCGGATTTGCCTAATGTCGGCACGGCATGCAAGACGGGATCGATCGGTGTTCGGCGAGTTGGCTCTCATCAATTGACCTGCCTGGTGCTTGGGGCTGGTCCCTGGTCGCTTCAGCTAGCGGGTGGTGCCTCTGCCCCGCACCAGCAGCAACCCCGCCACCGGCCAGCGACTTCGCAGTAAAAGATAATGGCTGCGAACAAGGTTGAAGCTAAAACAGGTTGCAGGTAGACTGTCCGCAAACTCAACGGGCAGTGGTACTTGGCCTTGGTGCTGAAATTTTTTTCGTCGTCCCATCCACCCTCGCCGTGCTTTCCCGTCTCTCCCATTAAAATATCTTCCCTTCTCCTCGATTTTCCCTCCTTCGCTTCGACCTTCCCTCCATCGCCTCATTTGTCCTCTGCCCTTCCCTACTTCCTCCCCGACTCCCAATTGCAGTCAATCCATCATCATGTCTCCCATCAACCCTGAGTATGCCTTGTCGGCTTCCCACAAGGAGGTATGTTGCAATTCTGCTGCCATGCATTTGGAAACCGGTCCCAGCTAACCAATTGTTCCAGCTGCTCGAGAAGAGCCTTCTCGACTCCGACCCCGAGGTCGCTGATATCATGGTATGACTCTACACCAACCCGACGATCCAATCTTGCTGTGCCTTGTGATGGATTTCCTAACAACTTCTACAGAAGGCAGAGATCCAGCGCCAGCGTGAGTCTATTGTTCTCATCGCCTCCGAGAACATCACCTCCCGTGCCGTCTTCGATGCCCTTGGTTCTCCCATGTCCAACAAGTACTCTGAGGGTTACCCCGGTGCTCGTTACTATGGAGGCAACCAGCACATCGACCAGATCGAGCTCCTGTGCCAGCGCCGTGCTCTTGCCACTTTCCACGCCGACCCCGAGAAGTGGGGTGTCAACGTCCAGTGCCTCAGTGGCAGCCCTGCCAATCTCCAGGTCTACCAGGCCATCATGCCTCCTCACGGTCGCCTCATGGGTCTTGACCTTCCCCACGGTGGTCACTTGAGCCACGGCTACCAGACTCCTTCCCGCAAGTACGTGACCCTTGTCCAACTGATATCCCTCGCCATCTGGCTTTGGATGACTCAAACTAACCCGATCCCAGGATCTCCGCCGTCTCTACCTACTTCGAGACCATGCCCTACCGCGTTGACCTCGAGACTGGCATCATCGACTACGACACCCTCGAGAAGAACGTCCAGCTCTACCGCCCCAAGGTCCTCGTTGCTGGTACCTCTGCCTACTGCCGCCTCATTGACTACGCTCGCATGCGCAAGATCGCTGACACCGTCGGTGCCTACCTCGTCGTCGACATGGCTCACATCTCCGGACTCATTGCCGCCGAGGTTATCCCCTCTCCTTTCCTCCACGCCGACATTGTCACCACCACCACCCACAAGTCTCTCCGTGGCCCCCGTGGTGCCATGATCTTCTTCCGCAAGGGTGTCCGCTCCGTTGACGCCAAGACCGGAAAGGAGACCCTTTACGATCTCGAGGGCCCCATCAACTTCTCCGTCTTCCCTGGTCACCAGGGTGGTCCTCACAACCACACCATCACTGCTCTCGCAGTTGCTCTTAAGCAGGCCCAGACCCCCGAGTTCAAGGCTTACCAGGAGAAGGTCGTCTCCAACGCCAAGACCCTCGAGAACAAGTTCAAGGAGCTCGGCCACAAGCTTGTTGCCGATGGCACTGACAGCCACATGGTCTTGCTTGACCTCCGCCAGCACTCTCTTGACGGTGCTCGTGTTGAGGCTGTCCTTGAGCAGATCAACATTGCCTGCAACAAGAACGCTATCCCTGGTGACAAGAGCGCCTTGACCCCTTGCGGTATCCGTATCGGTACCCCTGCCATGTCCAGCCGTGGTTTCGGCGAGAAGGACTTCGAGCGTGTCGCCGTTTACATTGACGAAGCCGTCAAGATCTGCAAGGAGGTCCAGGCTGGCCTTCCCAAGGAGGCCAACAAGCTCAAGGACTTCAAGGCCAAGGTTGCCACTGGTGAGATTGCCCGCATCAATGAGCTCCGCAAGGAGATCTCTGAGTACACCAGCTCTTTCCCTCTCCCTGTTGAGGGCTGGCGTCTGGATGCTGGCATCTAAATGTCTGTACTATATCTACTCGCACGCGAGTATTGAGTTGCGTGGTGAATTGTGAAGATAACACTGAGACGGATCAGAGACTACTATCTACCGGATAGTGAAGGACAACCCAATTTTTTTCATCAAAAAAAGGGGGAGTCCCGTTTGGAGCTGGACGCTACACTTTAACATGAATGGATGATGGCAAATGTTCAACAAAAGCATGCATTTTACTGGGCGCACGATTTTCTTTTTTTCTTTATTTGGAGGGAGTTGGGCAATGGATGGAATGAAAGAAGGGTTTTATATACAGGAAGACAATTCTCTGGATGGAGCTCTTTCTGCGAATTAGATCGTCTTAACACGATTCAAATATGAGACAATAAATACTATCAGACTATGAACATTAATGCGTCTATCAAACTGGCCTGCTTCATCTTACTACATTCAGTATCGCAGGTCCTGCCAAGGTTGTAGACCAACCATACTCGACATCCTATTGTACCTTGGATGTTCAAACACTGCGTACATTCGCGATCAAGCCTGCGTGATATCTTCTCTTTCATCCAATCGACATGTTTTAAAAGTAGCCAACTTATCGTAGCTATCTTTTTATATCCTCAACCCGACCAGCTTCAAGTCATGACTCCCCCGCAACCGGAGTGCTTCCTTCCTTGCACCCGGTTTGGAAATAGAACAAAACAAAGCATCCATGAAGCAAATACCCAAGCCGTTTCTGCTTAGGTGGACACCACTCCACAAACATATTCATCTCCTCCCCCAAGTCTCTGGCCATATTGAATGAGAACAAGCCCCGAGACACAAAGATTCTAATTGCCATACAGTGTCATCCCCCCAAAACCCTCCCCTGCAGTTGCCTTCCAGATCGAAACTAATGTAA